CATTGGGGGAGGCTCCCCTAATCTGCATATTTACCATATTTTTTTATAAATTTTACAAATATATATATATATTTAATATAATAGAAAGAGATGTATATAAACTTTCATATTGCTACATGTTATGTGGAATACATGTAGCTAGACTAAAAATAGACTAAAAATGTTTTGCTATTATATAAGAAAACAGATTATAATTCTTAATAATGTTTTATCCGGTGCAGGATGTCTTTGATAATTAACTAAAATGACCGGAAGCCTTATAATGATCAAAAGTATAATCTACATCTATCTTTTCTATGTTCTCGTTATTGTCTGGATGCTACTTAAATGTTTTATTCACAGATTTCTTATCAAATATAAGATCTATTTTTTTAAAAGATACATTAAAAGTAGGGTAAAAGCAGGGATTATGGAATAGCTTTTTTTAAATTAACATTGCTCCGATATAAATGCATATGAAGACTTTAAATTTACACAGAACTCTTGAGGAATATGATAGCTACAACATCCAATAAATGAAAGTCGCTAAAATTTAAGTCCAACGTCAATATTAACAAAAAAGTCAAAAGTGAGAAAATGGGGGGGTCTAAAAAATGGGATGTAATATGGAATACCGATGAAATTTTGACTATAGTAATAAATAACACAATAAATGAAATCCAAATTTGTTTATATAAACTGATCAAGAAAAATAAAAAACTGTTCAATTTTTATTGTACAATAACACAGAAAATATAATAGCATCATTACGAACGTTATTACGCATGGACAAATAAAAAATCGCAAATAAGCTGATAAATTGCAAATAAACTGATATAGAATACAGCTGTAATCTAACCTAACCTAACCTAATCTGATCACGAATAAGTTGCTAACATGCATGGAATCTATTCCATATTCTCAACCCTCGATGTATTCCACATTACCTGCATGTCGGTCATATGACAAATAAAGTCTTTCCGTAGCAATAAACAAGTTTAAAATAGCAATTAATCTGCATAATGTTGTTCATGCAACGTTATTAAAAGCGTCTGTGCAATATAAGCACTAAAAAAACTTGCCTTCAGTTTGTGAGAACACTTTTTAGAAAAAACTGCCGGATCTTCTTACGTAACGAAAATGAATAAATGTTAATTGTAGCAAAACGGTTAGTCGGACCGAGTTCATTGCTTGTTATGACATGTTTGGTAACAGTTGCAATAACTTTCAGCTATTGCCGCCAAATTGCAATGCTTTGTTAAAAAATAAGCCACTATTCCATATTAGTAGCCTATGCCATAATCTCTGATTTTACCCTACATTTAAAAATGCACATACATTTTTTATCTTTTCCAGTGACGAGTATTAATATGAGATGGTGCTTTTGCCTATAAATCGATTGCCTACAGTATCTTTTGCCTACATCACTTTTGCTTACAGTTCGATTACCTACATGTATTATTGCCTACAGCTCGATTGCCTACATGCGCTTTTGCGCACGAATATAAAATTAAAGTTAAGTAAGAAAATAATTTATATTTTTAGGAAATCTGTCATGTGAACAGTGGGGTGTCAGCGTGGACAGTGTCCGCTTGGAATATTCCAAAAAATCTAACCCTACACTGAAAAAAAATATAGTCAATTTTAATAAATATTTAGTTGAATACTGCCAACTAAATATTTATTAAATATAAAGATATATTTATTTGATACAAGAAATATTAATTTGATTTAACAATCTTTTTTTTTTACTGAACAAATATTTATTTACGGTAAGTAAATGTTTAGTTGGCAGTATTGAACTAAATATTTATTAAAATTGACTATATTTTTTTCTCAGTGTAACCAAACCATTTGTTGGTGTGAGGTAGCCCTCATTTCGCGTGGAAAGTTGTGAGCTGTAGACAATAATGATATGTAAGCAATCGAGCTGTAGGGAATCGAGCTGTAGGCAATAGTACATGTAGGCAAAAGTAACTCCGTTTCTAAAATTTTTATTTGTGTGCAAAAGCGCATATAGGCAATCAAACTGTAGGCAAAAGTGATGTAGGCAAAAGATACTGTAGGCAATGGATTTGTAGGCAAACGGGATCCCCCCTATTAATATTATGTGCATTTTTAAATGTACTTTTAATGTATCTTTTAAAAAAAATAGATCTTATATTTGATAAGAAATCTGTGAATAAAACATTTAAGTAGCATCTAGACAATAACGAGAACATAGATAAGATAGATGTAGATTATACTTTTGATAATTATAAGGCTTTCGGTTATTTTAGTTTATTATCACAGACATCCTGCACCGAATAAAACATTATTAAGAATTATAATCTGTTTTCTTATATAATAGTACATGTACATTTTTAGTCTATGCTACATGTATTCCACATAACATGTAGCAATATGAAAGTTTATATACATCTCTTTCCGTTATTATACTCTTAGCGGCCACACCTCAGCCCGGCCACATCGCGGCCACACCGGGGTACATAGCTAAAAAAATTAGTTGTACAAGATATATGGGTATTTTAAGATTTCTAATCGATTGTTTCATGTTTGTTGAACAGTTCTTCAACATTTCTAATGATTTATATTAGTCAATTTATAGATGGCGCTCTAAAAACTGGTCATATATGTGAAAATTCGGTAAAAATGACTTTTTTCAGAAAAAAATTCATTACTCCGCCATTTTTCAATATTAAGGGCTAAAATTTTAGGATTGTACGCACAAGATACACCACTACCATAAAAAAATAACAGTATACGCCGATCTTTCAAAAAGTATATTTATTTTGCAAAATTACGGTTATGAGGGAAAAATGAAAACGTCGAGAAAACGAACGCTCAAAGCGCCGCCATGCGATTTTTCAGCTTCCTATGTAATGGAGTCACATCTCACACGTGTCTATTAGTGACAGATGTCGATACTTGTATCAATTTCAAATGTTTTAGACCTCTAATTTCACTTTTCCTAAGCCTTGGGGTACAAAGTCACCCCGTGTGGCCGCTAAGGGTTAAATTAAAAAATTATTAAGTTATTGTTCTTAATATTGTAGTTAAAAAAATAATAAAAAGAAACAGATTATAATGATATTCGATATTTTGTTATTTCTAGTCAAATATTATATTTAATTTCGATGATTTCGATATTTAATTTTAATATTTCTCATAAATTTACAGAAATGTCTTGTATTTCTATATCCGCAATTCCTACTAACAAAGTAAAGATAACGGAATAACGTATGAGATAAGTGCCTTCTAGATAACTAAAACTCTATAATCTGGGTTAACACATTTTTGCCGTATTGAGATAATTTCCAAGAGAAAACAATAGTGAACGACGCATATTAGTGTTTTATTGCCGCTTGTACAAGGATCGGATGGTCAGAGAATAGAAATGAAACTTCTGTTGGGTGATAAGCGTGTATTTTTATTTTGCGTCCGCATGATTCGAAAGATGCCAACGTTCTGCCTTCCGTTGTCCCGCGAGCAGTCGCGTGACGCGTCTAGGAATCTGTTTATTTCTCACTTGAGACAATTTCGTTGTTTTCATTTAAAATATTGACGCAATTCTCTCTTTCTGTCAAATCAACTTATACAGCATATGCTGTTTGTGTCTACACTCATACTTACGACGCGGTCAAGCTTATAGTCGCGTTAACAATTCGGCTACAACAAAAAATAATATGCTATGAGACACCGTAATTCCTAAAGCAATCTAATTATATATTATTTAAACTTCTTAGCAGACGTTATCTCTTAGTCTGCCGTTCGTGACATGATTCGTGTGTTTACTTTTTTTCTAGCGCTCGAACAGCTTCGCGCGGAATTAAATTTATACAATATTTCTCGCAGATCACGTACATACATATTATCTTCCGAATA